GGAGGAGGAGGAGGAGGAGGAGGAGAAGGGTTATGACACACCAGAGACCAAATCTGCTGCATGCACATAGGTTTTCTTCATATCAGAACAGTCTGCTTCCATGGGCTCCTGACCCCACATTACTGTTACTACTTTGAGTAACTGACATTGTCCAGCTGTGCTAAATGCTTTGTTTATGTTCAAGGTAGACGTTAACACCAGTCCACACTGCAGAGCTCAGGGCAGTGAGCTGTGGTTGTATTGATCAGTAGGTACAGTGACTTGACTTGGACCCCAAGACCTCACCCAGTGCTTGTTTGTCTCCATACACAGCAAGGTGGCAGGCCTTGTTTTCTTAAATGTTGAAGACTTTCACATGCTAATATGTTTACTTTTTTGCTTTCATTTCCAGTAGTTTTTGATCCTCTGAGTTAAACAGTTGAATCTTCATTAGTAATTAAACTTGTGTTTATATGAGTAAATCCAAATAGAGAAAATACTCTTTATTAAAATTTGCAACACCAAACAGAATGATAAAATACAGTGTAGATTCATAGCCTATGTTCATGAATAACGTCATTTTGAATGTAAAGCACATGGATGTATGTGTGCACACGTGAAATGCCTAGCCTACTTCTTGACATGTAGCAGGTGATCTCCAGGTGATAATAAATAATGCTGTATTTGATTTTAGTTGTCACCTAACTTGTTAAACAGGCAGCTTTTAAAAATGTGTAGCAATGTCCCCATTAAAGTGGTTCAAACGCATAGTTTTGTAATCTGGCTCAACAACCTTAGCAGTTATCAGTGTCCCCATGTGGACCACTCCATTTTGGTGTTACCTCCCTTTGATATGTCTCCAGGATGTTTTTGTGTATTGGGCTGTGGCTTTCCAGCTGCAGAATGCATCAGAGTCACCTGAGGCAGGGACAGCACTAAAAGGCATTTTGCTAAACATGATCCTCATGGTTTCTGATACCTAGATGTAAGACACTGCCCGGGAATTTGCATTCCAGAAACTCCTTAGATGCTCCTGCTGCAGTGTGGACCTCACTCTGAGTGCCTGATCTGGGGAGGCAGTAGGGTCTGAAGTTATTATCCTCTGCACGAGAGAGTCAGCGGCTGATACCATGCTGTTGTGTGATACCAAGCTTATATTTATTTTTGTTATTTTTCTTTTCTTCAATAAACAACTTATATGTGTTTACCATCCAGGAAAAAGGCATAATTCTGGAATATATTTTACAAGATAATTTTATTTATTATAATTTATTTCTAAGAATGTCAGGGTATTAGGATAGTGTGATGGTTTAAAATAGCATCAAGAATTTTATGTTCTCTACTTCTTTTCAAGAGTCACTTTGATAGACTGGCACCAAGTAAAATTTAGCACTCATCATTCACACTCAGAAAATTTCACTCAGAATGATACCAACATAACAATTTCACCTCCTTTTAAAGCATAGCTTACATCTTTGGGATGTCGAAGTGTTATTCTTTCAAAAGAGAAAAGGCAATCAGAAAATCTTTGTCCGTGAGATTAGACTGAAATGATCTTTCATTCAGTGCTTCTGAGTGCCTTTCTGTGCAAGACATTATGGCAAAATCTAGTGCCAAAGTCATTTATCATTATCATATACAATCAGGTTGTTTTAGTAGATTGTAACTTAATATGGATCTGATTGTGTGACAAGGCTATGGATCACCTTAATGCAGTTGTAGGCTTCATTAATAGAATTAGTAATGTGCAGAGCCTGGCACTGCCACTGCGGTCTTCTCTTTTCGCTAGAACATGTCTGGAATGTAAGGTGTCCATTGGAGGTAAGGTAGGTGGGAGCAGTCATTCCAGCAGCCTGGAGCCTGCTGTTAAAGGCTTATTTTGCATATGGCGATTGTTGGAAGATGGAGTGATACACTGGGTGGAGAGGCGTCTTCTTTGTGTTAGTGGCTCACCCCTGCTTGATTGTAGGATAAGAAACCTGGAATCTCAACATCTTGTCCACTACTGTGTCATCTATGCCTGACTCACGTCAGTAAATAACTGACTCACTTTTTGAGAGGAAGATGATGATAAGCCTTCATAGGTTTCTCACAAAAGTGGCTTGATGACCTTTGTGCGTGTGTGCATGTGTGCCAGGACTCAGCAGTACCTCTCAGGAGGCCTTTCTACCTTGGGTTTTGAGAATGTGCCTGGGACCTAGACTTGCTAGTGGTTAGGCCAACCAGCCAGCCAGAAGGGCAGGGATCTTCCTGTCTGTTTCTCAAGAACTGGATTACAAACACATACTACCACTCTGTTTTTTTTTTTTTTGCGTGAGTGCTGAAGACATACTCAGGTTCTTATGCTTGTGAGGCAGGCTCTTTATTTCCTGAGATTCCTCCAGTGATGGGATTTTTAGGTGAGAAGTTTTCAGTTTTATCTGAGAACTTTGTTAAACTTGGACACTGTTAGCTGAATCAATACCTTCTTCTCTTAGAATTCTGATGTTGTAAATGTGTAGGTGGAGGCTGGAGGAGATTACTATAGTATAAAGTTTTAAAAGATTATGGGCCAACATGATTTCAGATTTTTAATTTATGGATGTATGTTTCTGCCTTTTTATTCAGTTTTTTTAATTTAACACAAAGTGATATCAACTAACAAAGTCTTTTTCTCTCTGGGTTATTAAATAATCTAAAATATTTTTAGTCATTAAAATAATTAAAAAGGAAGTATTATTACCTTTTTTGTCTTTTCAGCCTTAAACAAGCAAGGGACCTAGAAAGAGAGAGGGCTGCGGCCAATGAGCAGCTGACCAGAGCTATCCTTCGGGAGAGAATATCCAGTGAGGAGGAGCGCACGAAGGCGAAGCATCTGGTGAGTCTCATCCTGGGTACTAAAGATATCTTGTCATCCTGGGCATCCCTGAGGTTGGGAAGCTAAGCTCTCCATTCCAGCTTTTAGTGTTGAGAAAGTAATGTTCGCTTGGCCAGATTTTACTGCGTTTTGTATATTTCAAGTAGCTGAGAAAGGTGGACCATCCAGGACACTGAGGTCGGTTACTTTACAAGTATTGAAGTATTGAAGGCAAATGTGGTGCTCATTTGTGACTTTATTGTCTCTGCTGCACCAGGCATGGGCTGGCCTTCTCTTCAACTGGCCACTTCCAGATGCTTCCCTGGGAAAGCTCCAGGAAGGTGAGCTGAGCTTTTATCAGCCACTCTCTAGACCTTATGTGTCTGGCTTGGAGAAGCCTTTTAAAAGTCAATTAGAAGTTTTTTCAGTAAAATATATTTTTTAATTTTAAAGACTATATAAATACTTTAAAATAAAAGATAATTAACAAAATTTTAAGAGTCACTCACCCATACATCTTTTTCCTGACCTGATCATGGTTTGTGCTGGAATGTGTTTCCCTATAATGTTTTTTTAAAAGGTTTCTTAGATATAACTTTGAATTTGAATAAATGCTGTATGTAGGTAAATCTATTGGTAGATTATAGAACACTTTTCTGAGCTGTAGTTTCTCATGATTACCATCCTCCATGTCCTTACCACTTATTAGAGACAATCTCCGTTGGTAGCTAAAACTGCATCTGCCTGGTTCAAGCCTGCAGCCTGAACTGCTCAGTCTCTACTTTTCTTCCTAGAAATGCATATGAAACTGTTCAGGGCCTTTAGTCCTTGCTAGAACACACTAGGACACCAGTGAGATGGAACACAAGGCCTTACATGGAGGGCTTTGAATTTCAAAATTCCTTCCCAGTAAGTAGCTGAGAGCTGCTAAAACTAGATGAGAGAAAGGCCCACTTCTCTCCTCTCTTGTAGTGGCTCTCTGTCCCTGTCTGTCTCTGATTTACAGTTTCCCCACATTAATATTAGGATGATTGACAGTTTGTTCTTTTACTTTCTTTTTAAATGACTGACTTTAATACTTATCCATGATAATGGGATACAGTGTGATACCTTAGCCCATGTATACAGTGTGCCTGGTTAAATTAGCAAAGTGGTATCTCCTTCCTGAGTCATTTTGGATTTGTGTGTGTGTGTGCCGAGAAGCTTAGAATTCTGTTCTAGTTTTTTTTTATGAACTATATAATAAATTGCTGACAGGTTTTTCTTTTCTTTCTTTTTTTTCTTTTTCTTTTAACCTTTTATTCCTATATTTGAAAAGTGAACCTATGACCAGATATAAAAAGAGGAATGAAAGGCAAAGTCAGTTTATAAAGCTCTTTCTTAGTGACCAGTCTGAGGTCTCAGGCTGCACGGGAGGAAGGCATCATCGCCAGAGTGGAGGTGACAGACAGGAGGGAAATGCCAGTGGGCTGACCGTCAGGGAAGGAGGGTCAGAAGGGAAGCCAGTAGTTTAAAGGAGGAATAAAGGAATGAGCAGCTCACTTCTGATTCTGTCTGCTCTCTGTCTGACCCGAAGCATGTTTTGAGGAAGTGGAGAAAGTGTCAGGCCATTTGTCTGAGGGGTCATTTCATTCCCATTAAAGTCTCACAATCTGGAGGCTAAAGACGAGAGGGCAAGGTTAATGATGCTCATATTTTAGGAAGGTACTGGGGGTATTTCTGGTGAGCATTTTTTCTGTCCCCCTTCTGGATCCTTTGCATCTTATACCTGGAACACTCTTTCCTCAATGGCTCTTTACCTGAATGTGGACGTACTGTCTTGTTTACTTAGTTTAAGAATTAACGAAAAGACTCCTTACATACACACATGATGAAGCATGAATAATTTCACAGAAAATGTGAAAGCTTGATCCTGTAGAAGCCAGAGGCAGCTCACATGTGTGATGTGGTTGGTATGGGATAGTACGTTCAACCTTTTGTTTCTCTTAATAACCTGTGTGTTGCCTGTCTTCACATTTGCTTAACTACTCATGTGTAAGATACTGAAGGGGATGTTCTGTTCATAGCTCGTTTACCAATCGTGGACTTGTGTGGTATAGATGACAATTACAGCACTCAGGGCTGCTGTATCTCACCATTCATCACAATGTTGGCTAAATAGAGTCCTCAGAGCACTTAGAGAGTGAGTAGGATTGATATAGTGGTGACTCAGGGGGTCTTTTCCTGTTCACAGATACTTGAGTGTTGTGGCCACAGAGGCATAACCACTACTGGGTAATACTTGATGTGTTTACTGGATTATTGCTGTTATTGTAGAAGACATACATATTCACTGGGTAAAGATCAGAAAATAAATCCAGTAATACATTAAAAATTAACACAAAAATCATTATCCACAGATAACTATTAATATTTTATTTGTGCATATCTGCATATGAATATATTTATGCTTATGTTTTTGTGTATGTTATGTATATCTGCATATTCCTATGTTGTGCATGTCTCTATGTGTTTGGGGCATGAGGTTGTGTGTGAAGTCAGAGCTCAGCCTTGAGTGTTGTTTCTCAGGTGTTGTTTACCTTTTTTTGAAGCAGGGTCTCTCACTGGGCTGGAACTGTCCAGTTAAGCTATGCTAACTGGCCAGCAGCCCTAGAGATCTACCTGTTAGCACCTCTCCAGGGCTGGATCATTAGTGTGAATCACCAGGCCTGGCTTTTTCTTGTGGGCTCTATGGTTTGAACTCAGCTCTTCCGTGCTTGTGTGGCAAGCACTTAACTGACAATGTTTTTTCCCAACAAATGACTTTTTATAGTCTTACAAAAATTTGCACATTTAAAAAATTATTTAGACTGTATGACAAAAGCTTTAGTAACAATATGTATGTTTTTGTGAGCCCTGGAACAATGGCCAATATTCGTTTGTTTTGAGGTCTCTGGAACTCAAGAGTTACAGCTTATAGGAAAGTAAACTTCTGAGTTTTATGTATTTGAGTTAACTAAAAAGTTTTCGTTTAGTCAAACTGATATGAGAATGTGTATCTTTTCTCAGTTGAGGACACAGGTGTTTTGTATGAATAAAATGAAAATACTTTCTAGTGAGAAGATTTTATGCTAATCATGGCATTCATGTTTCAGATATGTTATATTCATGAGGATTAGAGTTAATTTCCCCATGCTTTTAGTGTGTCTGTTTTGATTGCCATCTGTCACATAGGTTGAATTTATCACTAGTGATGTTATATCAACATAGATCAAGAAGTCTTGGGATCTAGACTTATATTTTTACATCTGTCTACCTGTATGTATATATATTTTGTTGCTAGAATTGAACTCTTGGTGCCGGTGAGCCACACCTCAAGCCTATTTTTAGACTTTGGAGCATTTTGGATCTCACACTTATTTTCAGATCTGCTCACCTATATTGTGAAGTAAACCTACTCTTGTGTCTACTTTTTCTCTCTTAATCAGTATTTCGCATTGGATTTATGGCTTCTTGGATATGAGCTCCAGGCTTCCCCTCAGTTGTCTCAGCAGCTGGCATTGTTGAAGCTCATTGAAGACATAGTCTTGGTGGTCTTGCTGCTGAAATCCTGAATTAGGTTCCAGTCAGAAGTTTCCTGTTTGGAAGACTTGTTTTAGCTGGGGAAACGTAAGCCTGGTCTAGAAAGGCTATCCCATTTCCTCTCTGTCCTGCATGACTGGTTGCAAAATTTTAATCAGATTTTTTCCCGAGGATTGGGAGAGGCCGCTCACTGGTGCCTGTGCCTGTGTGAAATGTTCACACTGGTGGTAAATCCTTCCCGGGAGCAATGAAGACGGAAGATTAGTGACAGGGTAGCACTAGCCACATACGAGGTCATTGCAGGTAGATATTCTGCTGTCTTTAAATTAAGATCCTGTGTTCCTAATCTCATATTTGCTGTGTCATAGATTTTCTTTTGAAATTAAAGAATCCTAGGCTGATTTTTTACTTTATAATTATATTTGATTTCTTTTTTAAAATGCCAGTTAAAAATAGTGATTCAGTCTTTTTTCTGGCTTATTAAATTATGCTGGTTTAATGTTAGTCATTTCTTATTCACTACTGAGATGTTCAGTATTTTCTTTTTTAAAAAAAGATCTGAACTTTAAAGCAAGCCTTAATTTACTTGTATAAGGGCATTTGTTTAAGTATCTTGGATCATCTGTCCCTAAATGTGAGGCCGCTTTCTTCACCCTTAGAACAGATGGTTTTATATCCTGTTTCCTGTATGGAGGTTAGTAGTGCTGAGGATGTGAGAGAGAGGAAGTCCTGTCCTCAGGAAGTCATCATGGCAGAGGCACTGTCCTGCTTCCACTTACTGCTTTCTCCTCGAGGGTTCTCTGTGTAGTGTTTGCAGTTGTGGTGTAAGACCCGAGTCTGACCGTGACATCTTCTTACATACTCTTCCCTGTGCTTCACTCATTTTGTTCTCTTCCCTTAACCCCTGTCTTTTCTCTCCTGCTTGCTGGTTGGCTTCTTCACATCAGACAGTACAGTATCCTGTCTACTTTCACTCTGTGTGTGTGTGTGTGTGTGTGTGTGTGTGTATGCGTGTGTGCATCTAGTAATTTCTGCATATGAGAAAAAACATACATTTTGGGGAGACAGATATCAGTCTTTAAAGTTTATATATCTTACCAATTCATACTACTTACAGTGCTGTGAGAAGTCCTACTTTTGAGGTGGTGGGGCTCGTGCTTTCTTTTGAAGTCATTGCTGTATTGCATCCATTTAATAGCTGCTTGCATGCCTGTTTATGCCAGGGTCCAACAGACAGTGAGAAGCTGATGTTGTTGACTAAACAACTGAATGTACGAAAATCCCAGAAATAAGAAGGAAAGAAGTGGATTTTCTGGGGAACGAGAGCCTGTTCAGGAATTGTCCTGAAGGTTGAGGAGTGGGGACTGTGTAGTGTCTTTTGTTGTAGACATTAGCATACATTCATTGGCATGGGGGATACACAAGTGTTGCTAGGGGGAAGCACAGAGCAAGAAGTGTGG